GACGCAACCTCCCCCGTCCAACGCAGTGTAGGCGAGGTCTCTGGCACAGAGACACGGGGTGAGAGGTTGAGCCGATGCCCGGCGTATCGGACCGCAAACGGCCACAGAAAATGGGGAGCAGTCGCATGGATCATGGAGGTGCGAGCAACCTCCATGACTAAGCCAATGCGACGCTCAGCAATCCCATTCTGTTGTGGAGAGGCCGGAAGCGTGAACGACTCGGCGATGCCCTCCGCACGACAAAAGTCCCGAAGGAGGCCGGAGGAAAACTCACCGCCTTTGTCAGAGTGCAATCGCAGGACCTGGAGGTCCTGCTCAAACCGAGTGCTCAGCTGGCGACGAACAGCGATGATCCAGTCGATCAAAACACCGCGGACATCCGCCTTGCTCCGCAAGGGGAAGACCCTGGTGTAGCGCGTGTAGTCGTCAACAACCAGCAGAAAGTAGCGATCCTTGTCCTGTCCACGGACGCGGGCTGGGCCCCACACGTCCATGTGAAGAGTCTGCAGAGGAGCAGTGGTCGGCGGAAACGAGGAGGAGTGAGGAGCGGCACGCTGCCGCCCCTCGACGCAAGGAAGGCACGGCGGTGCAAGCGAGCACGGGAGCGGGGGCAGGGACCTGGGGAGGCCAGAGACAAGGAGACGCGAGTGCATGCCACGCAGGCGCGGCAGGGAGGGGTGACCAAGACGGTGGTGCCAGAGGAGAGTCTGGTGCGAGAGTAGCCGGCACGAACAAGACGCAGCTAACTGACCCGACGCAGCCACCTGTGCAGACGCAGCCACCTGACCTAACGCAGCCACCTGTGCGGACTCAGTGGTCAGTGGGTACAGGCTAGACCCAGGCCTCCGAGTGAACGTGGCGAGGTGCTCGCCAGTGCGTGAGTCCGAAGAGATCGCCACACGCTCACCTCCAGGAGTAAAGGTACTGACCAACTCGTCCCGGAGGACAGCGTTACTCACCAAGTTCTTAGAGAACGAGGGGATGTGGAGACCTGACAGAGAACCGGAGGGGACTGCCGGACAAGGGAGGACAGTGGAGGCTCGTGCAACGACTGGGCCCCCAGAGGGGTCAGCTAGAGAGACTGGGACATGTGCTGTGAGCGGTGTGACTGTGGTGCAATCGTGAAAGAAACAGCGAGACGCGCCTGAGTCAAGTGTGAAGGTGTGCAAGGCCTCAGCAGAAGCAGTACCTGCGGCAGCAGAATCACAAGCACCTAGAGCAGCAGCCTCTACACCAGCAGCGCGCGGCACACACGGGTAACAGTGACCCTCAACACTAGCAGAACCAGCATACATAACATAGATTCCAGCATTGATCTTGGCAAAGTCAAGAGCAAAAACATCTACCCCCTTCCCTAGCAACCCTAACCAGTTTGGGGCATCCAGCTCATCTCCGTACTCGGTGCGCCAGGCATCCTCGAGACGGCAGAAGCAACGATACTCAGTGTGCCTAGTGTTCCCGCAGGGCTCACCCGTCCTGAGACCCGTGCGCCTGATGTACGGGCAACGAACATTAGCCCCAGTGGAGCCATGCTGAATCACCCACTCACGAAGCTCCTTAGGGGTGCGTGGCTCCTGCTGGCGTGGCTGCTGCTGCTGTCCACCCCCAGTGCCCCCGCCGCCATGAGCTGCACCACCAGTCGCCGCCCCATAGCCTCCGCCCCTGCCAGCTCCACCCCGACCGCCACCCGAGCCCCCTCCGCCCACTCCAACGCCTCCACCACCCCAGACACCTCCACTGCCGCCACCACTGCCTCCACCCCGCCACCACCACCCCCTCCACCCCCACCACCACCACCGCCACCACCCCCGCCACCACCCCCTCCAGTGGCCCCCCCACCACCCTTACCCCCCTTTCCCTTGCCGCTGAGGCGCCTCCCACTAGGAGCAAACGCAGCACCGACCTCCTCAGTATGAAGGAAGTCAACAGCAGCAACGGAGGGCGCGAGAAGGGAGGGAGAACACCCCTCAAAGAAGGGGGAGCGGGGAGTGCCACGAGAGGCAGCTACAGCGACAGAACTGGTCTCGGCCTCGAGGAGATGCTTCTCCAGCAAGTCAAGGGTGATCTCGGTGGGGTCGAGGGCAAGGAAGTGATCCCTAACGGCGCGGAGGGAGTCAGGGAGGCGGGTAACGAGGTAGTAGAGTGTGATGTACATCGGAGGCGGAATCGCAGCCAGAAAGGCCGGCTTGAGAGCGGCAAGGTAGCGAGCGTCACTAGAGCAAAGGTGGGTCACGAGGTCAGCGACAGTATGGAACTCAGACAGCTCAGGATGGAGGTACGGCAGCATGATACGGCCTAGGGCAGCAGAAGAGGGGGAGGAGTAACGAGCAACTACCGCGTCATAGAGTTCCTTCGCCGTCTTAAGCTGGCCGAAATGAACTCGTTCCTCAGGCGGGAGGGCATTGCGGACAGAAAGGCGGGCAGTAGCATCGCGGGTGAGCCACTGAGTACGAAGAGCACGCGCAGCTGAATCCTCAGGGGCTAGGCAAGTACCGGACGTGTGCTCTAACAGTGAAACGTCCTCCCTAGCCATGCTCTGCAAGTACAGGTGGAGATCCTCGAGCCAGCAGTCAAACCCAGTCGGGCGACCCTCCGTGTCAAAGGCAAGGACATTAAGAGTAGCAATCGTGAGCAGCAGCAGTAGCACCAGTAGCAGCAGTAGCAGCAGCAACAGTAGTAGCAGCAGTAGAAGCAGTAGCAGCAGTGCGGCAGCAAAAGCAGATCGGCCGGGCAGCTAGGCAGCGCGGCGCGGCTCGGCAGGGCGGCGCGGCTTGGGCGGTGATGCGCGGCTCGGGCACGGCGGGGCAGCGCGGCGCTGTAGCAGCAGCAGCTTAGCAGCAGCTGCAACGTGTGCAGGGCGCGTGCAGGCAACGCGAGTAGGGCCACGCGCGGGCTGTGCGGGCAGAGCTCGTGCAGCACGGGCCGTAAGGGCAGCGCGCGGACGGCGCCAGCGGCGTGCGGGCAGTGCGCGAGCAGGGCGCGCGGTGCGTGGGCAGGGCGCCGGCGGTGCAGGCAGCGCGCAGGCAGTGCGCGAGCAAGGCAGGCAGCGCGCGGGCAGGGAACGCAGCGCGCGGGCAGCAGCAGCAGCGCGCGGGCAGCGCAGGCAGCGCGCGAGCAGCGCAGGCACCGCGCGGGCAGCGCAGGCAGCGCGCGGGCAGCGCAGGCAGCGTGCGGGCAGGGCGCGCGTAGGCCTCAGGCAGCGCGCGTGCAGGCAGCGCAAGCAGGGCGCGAGCAGGGCAGCGTGCGGGTCGCGCGCTAGGCAGCAAGCGGGCAGCGCGACGGGCAGGGCAGAACGCGTGGGGCAGCGCAAGCAGGGCAGGGCAGTACGGGCAGTTCGGGCAGGGCAGTACGGGCAGTTCGGGCCGTTTGGGTAGGTCTAAACTAGCGGTGGGCCCCAACGGAGCGGTCCTACGGAGGATGGACCCGCTCTGAATACCATGTCAGAAGTAGAACGTATGAATGATTGACTAGTAGGGAAGAATGAGTACAAGTACTAGGAATGACCTAAAGTGTTGTACTCCTTAGACTATGCCCCACTACAGCCTAGAGATAACAAATGCAATTTGACAACATCAACAATACCGAGGGTGCCTCACGTCGCCTTCGGTTTTCCCTTGCCCAACCTGCACCCAACCTTGCGTACCCTAGGTTCCCGCCTAGCTAAGGTAGTCACTATATTGTGTCGCGTCCTTCATTGTATCGTCATTCATTTAGTCACAGCTTCGTGATTCGTTTTCCGCGCTACTTCGTTTGATAACTTGTTTGAAAACTCATAACCCTATTTAGCTTGATCTTTCATGTTACAAGCGGGTTCTCTCCTTGCTTTCGCTCCTCGCGCCGGACGGCGAGCTTTGTTGCTCGTGGTTCGTTGTCGTGCTTCACCTCGAGCCTGAGAGGCTCGGAAAGTGTCGTCAAGCTTCGCTCTCCTTGTCGTTCCGCTTTCGCAGCCGCACATCCCTGCGTTTTCCAACACCAGCGGCTCGCTCGCTCCCCCTACAGTATCTTCTTCCGCCTGTGCGTTCCTGGCTTTGGCGCAAGCTGTGCGACAACTAGTTTCAGAGGATTCTATTCCGCGTGTCCCCCGCCTCCCTCGTTTGTGCGCATGCCAGGTAGGGCAAACGTGTCTCTACCTGCCACCTGCGCGCACCGCATCCACTTTCACGGGACCATGCGCTTCTCCGCCATGCCCTCCCCCATACCTGGTCCCAAATTTCCCGCCTCCCCTCCCCCCCCCCCCCCACTTTCATTGGCACACTTCCCCGCTCACCTACGCGCACTCGACTGCCTCACCTTCTCGTCTTCCCTTCGCCTGCTCCCTGCCAGCAGCATTTGCCCCCCAGCAACCCAACAACACCCACAACACCCCATCATCATCATTCCTGCTGCCACCGCACTAACCCAACTCGCCTGCTAACCCTCACTGTCTCACAACCATCACCAACTGCCTCGCCTTCTCCGCTGCCTAATCATTTAGGTCGTCGTTGACGGGCGTCCCGATTCGCGCGACGCTATTATCGCATTATGATAAATTAGGAGCAGAATGACTTAGTAGGAGTCTGGCATAACTCGTTAGTGTCAGAGTTCGCCCTCGATCTGCTTGGTACGTAGGAGTCCTCACGCCTGTGACGGACGCGTTACGCAAACACAGTTATACTCGCTTGTCTAAAGTGGCAGCACTTACTGTTACAGATGTTCTTACACGCATTACCCTGGATGCTGGGCGGTAGTTACTCTCCCTGTAAGCCCTCGCGCTGCTTATCCTTTTTAAAACTTAAAGTACGTTAAGACACTTCTACAAGTTTAGCCTACAACGCTAGGCAGTTTGTCCAAGACTCTTTGGTTAACAGTCTCCTCATTTCCTCACTTCGGGGACACCCGTAGCTGCGGTCATCATTCGCCGACGATTCCAACGGTAGCTAGCGGTGGTAGCCAGGGCTGGTGCGCCACCCGCACTGCGCCTAGGTCCACTATCTCTGGGCTGGGTCACTTGCGGCCTCGTCATGGGGTGCGCGTGCTCCCATCCCAGTGCGCTCGACGAGTCTCCGCCTCACAAACCCGCCGCAGAGAAGCCCCCCCCTCCCTCGCAGCAGCAGAGACCGCCAGCCGCCACTCCGCCTCCCGCCGCCGTCCCCGTGGTACCGGAGCCCCCTTCCATAAAGGATCCCCCACCCCCCGCCAAACCAGCGGCGCCGCCAACAGTAGCAGCCGCTCCAGCGGCGGTAGCCGCAGCTCCGGCCGCCGCGAAGGGCAGTTCGCGGCAGAGCGGGCAACTGGGGGCGGGGGAGGAGGGGGCGGAGCGGGAGAGACGGAAGGAGCGGGAAAAGGAGAAGGAGAAGGAGAAGGAGCGAGAGCGGGAGCGGGATCGAGAGCGGGCGGGAGATGCGGTAGTGCCGGCGGCGGTGGCGTCGGTGCCGCGGCAGGTGCACAAGAGCCTGGAGGCGGAGCAGGTGGCGGCGGGGTGGCCGTCGTGGCTCGCCTCCGTCGCCAGCGAGGCCATCAAGGGCTGGGTGCCGCGCCGCGCCGACTCCTTCGAGAAACTCGACAAGGTGAGCCGCGCGCGGACGCTAACGGGCGCTCGGGAGCAGGTCGTGGGCGGTCGGGAGCCGCGTGCGGCGAGTGCGCTGGGAGGGGAGTGCGTGGGGATGGGAGTGTGCGGTTGATGGAAGGGAATGGAAGGGGAGAGGGCGGTTGCTTCACGATGTTGGTGAACGGAAAGAAGGGAAGGGAACGAGAGCACGAGCAGCGAGTGGGACGGAAGGGAGCGAATCGTGGGTCGCTAGTGAGAGGGATGGACTCTCTCTCCGCTCGCGCTTCGCGTCGCGTGCTCTAGACGCTCTCCCTAATCTGCGCGCCTGCTCTGTTTGGCCTTTGTTTTCGCGATGCTCGCGTAGCCACCGCTATTATGTAACCTGCTCGGCTCCGCTCGAATTTAGAGTTGCGGGAGGCGTTGCGGACGGCAATATGTCGCACACTGTCAGGCTGTCGCATAGTGCCGCAAACCGCCAGGTTGTCGCACAGTGCCGCCTGATTCTACGACGTCGTGGGCAACTATGTATGCAAAGTAATTGGATCGGCTGCCGCATTGCAAGCGCCGATGCGCGGCTGCGCGGGCGTCCATACTCGTCGCACTCGCACCATTCCCAATCCAATCACCCTGAACTTCCCCCTCCCTCCTTTTCCCTCGTTCCCCCTCCCCGCTTTTCCACAACCCCCACTCGTCGCGGCGCGCAGATCGGGCAGGGCACGTACAGCAACGTGTACAAAGCGCGCGACCTGGAGAGCGGGCGGCTGGTAGCGCTGAAGAAGGTGCGCTTCGACAACCTGGAGCCGGAGAGCGTGCGCTTCATGGCGCGCGAGATCGAGGTGCTGCGGCGCCTGGACCACCCCAACGTGATTCGCCTGGAGGGGCTGGTGACGTCGCGCATGAGCTGCAGCCTGTACCTCGTCTTCGAGTACATGGAGCACGACCTCGCCGGCCTCGCCGCCTGCCCCGGCATCTCCTTCACCGAGGCGCAGGTCCGCCGCCCTGTCCTTGCCGCTCGGCCCTTGCCGCGCCGCTGCGCGCCTTGTGTTGCTGCTGCCGCCGCGTGCTATTCCGTGCTTGTCGCTGCGTGGCTTGCGCGCTGCCTTTTCCGGCCGTCCTCCTCACCTCGTTCCTCCTCCCCCCTTTGTGCCCCCCACCTCCCTGTTCCCTTGGTGCCCTTCCCGTGCCACGTGGCTTGGCAGGTGAAGTGTTACATGCAGCAGCTGGTGGCGGGGTTGGAGCACTGCCACACGCACGGCGTGCTGCACCGCGACATCAAGGGCAGCAACCTGCTGCTCGACAACACGGGGTCGCTCAAGATCGCCGACTTCGGGCTCGCCACCTTCTACCGCCCCGAGCAGAACGTGCCGCTCACCAGCCGCGTGGTGACGCTGTGGTACCGCCCGCCCGAGCTGCTGCTCGGCGCCACCACGTACGGCGTCGGCGTCGACCTGTGGAGCAGCGGCTGCATCCTCGCCGAGCTGCTCGCCGGCAAACCCATCATGCCCGGCCGCACCGAGGTGAGCCGCGCGCACTTGATCCGCGCGCACGTGAGCGCGCCCAGGTGAGCCGCGCTAGGGTGAGTCGCGCGCAGGTGATCCGCGCGCAGGTGTCTTCGGTTTCGTCTGCCTCCACTCCCCACTCTCCCTCCTCACTCACCCCTTCCCCCTCCAACCTCCCTTCCACCCGTCCACCGTTCACACCCCCTCCCCCCCCCCTTCACCCCCCTTCTCTCTCCCCCATTACCCCCGCCCCCCCTGCCCCCCATGGCGTGCGCGCAGGTGGAGCAGCTGCACAAGATATTCAAGCTGTGCGGGTCGCCCAGCGAGGAGTACTGGCGGCGCTCCAAGCTGCCGCACGCCACCATCTTCAAGCCCACGCAGCCGTACAAGCGCGCGCTGAGGGACCTCTTCAAGGACTTCCCCGCCACCGCGCTCAACCTGCTCGACGTGCTGCTCTCCATCGAACCCACCGACCGTGGTTCCGCCACCTCCGCGCTCGCGCACGAGGTGAGAAGAGGCGAGGGGCGCACGAGGTGAGAAGAGGCGAGGGGCGCACGAGGTGAGAAGAGGCGAGGGGCGCACGAGGTGAGAAGAGGCGCACGAGGCAAGGGGCGCACGAGGTGAGAAGAGGCGCGCACGAGGTGAAACTAGGGGCGGTAGGGGATGGCGGGTCGTGACACTTCCAGGCTTGAGAAATTGTTGCTGCCTGCGTCATTCCCCTTTTTCCTCCACCCCACACGCTTCCCGTCCCTCCACCCCTCCACCTTCCCCTTCACGTGCCGCCATTCTCCCTCATGCTCTCGCCGTTCCCCATCACTCATCCCCTTCCCCCTTCCCCCACTCTCCCCCGTTCCCTCATGCCTGGCAGTTCTTCACGACGAAGCCGCTGCCATGCGACCCAGCGTCACTACCGCAGTACCCGCCCAGCAAGGAGTACGACGCCAAGCTGCGCGACGAAGAGGCCCGCAGGTCATCCCTCCCCGCCCCTCCCCGCCCCTCCCCTCCCCTCCTTCCCCTCCCCGCCTTTACCCGCGTCTCCTCTTCCCTCTTGCCCCTCCCCGCCCCTCTCCGCCCCTCCCAGCCCCTCACATCACCCCCCCTTCCCGCTCCTTGCTCGCTCCCTTGCACTTGGCACACGTGTCTGTGTTTCCGCGTCCAGCAATCAATGCTGTGCTGCCTGTCGCCTTCTTGCACTCATTTGCGCGCACCGTGCAACCCTGTTGCGTGCATCACCCCCCCTCAACCTCTGTCCCCGTGCATCCCGTCCTCTCTGCATTCCCCTCCCGTGCGCCGCTGCTGCTCCCTGGTACGTCGTCTGTGGCAGGCAGAGGGCGGCAGGGGCGAGGGCAGGCAAGGTGCTAGACAGCAGCGCCAGCAGCAAGCAGGCGGCGGCGGGGCAGGGCGCGCAGCGCAGCAGCACGTCACAGCAGCAGCCGCAGCTGCAGCAGCAGAGCCAGCAGCGGTCCAGCCGGGCCGTGCCGGCGCCCCACGCCAATGCGGAGCTGGTGGAGTCCATCAACATCCAGGTGCGCCCTTGTCACTCGCACACACCTGTGCGCTCTCGCCTCACCTGCACCGCCTTGCTTGCCCGCTGCACCAGTGGTGGAGTGCAGTGCCGTTGCTGCTTGCATGGGCTGGGTAGAGCTGCCTGTGTGCAATGCTGTCGTGCTGCCTCTCCCACGCCCGCTCCCTCTTCGCCTCGCACACTCACCTCTCCCCATTGAAACATCACCCTCCCTTGCTCAACTCTTCTGCCCCCTCACCCCCCCGTTTTCCCCCTCCCCCACGCCTCCCTTCGCCCCCCCTCACAGAAGGCGACGGGGGGCAAGGCGGCGATAGCGAAGAGCAAGAGTGAGAAGTTCATCAGTCCGGCGGAGATGGCGCTGGCAGCGGGGCTGCAGGGGCTGGGCCCGCACACCAAGGCCGTCGACACGCCCGACGGACTCAAGGCGCTCAAACCCGCCGACGCCAACGACAAGCTCAGGGGGGCGGCGGCGGGCGGCAAGAGCTTGTCCGCCACCACGTCGTGGGTGCAGGGGCCCTCCTTCTCCTCCGCGACCACCGCTGCTGCTGGCGCCGCAGGGGGCGGGGCCGGGGCGGGGGTGGGGGGAAGGAACGTGAGTGGGGAGGTGGGGATTGGGGAGAGCAAGCAGGGGGGGCTGGTGCGGACGGGCAGTGCGGGCCGGAGCAAGGGGGGTGTGAACCCCACAAGCCATGAGCTGTCGGCGGCCGGGGTGGCGGCTGCTGCTGGCGTGGCGGGTGTGGGGTCTGGCAGTGCGGCGGGCACGGGCGCATCAAAGGACTTCTCCACGGGGTCATCGCGCGACCTCACCGAGTCGAGAGATGCTGCTCTGCGGAAAGTGCGCGAGCGCGAGAGGGAGCGCGAGCGGGAGAAGGAGGAGAGGGAGAAGCGGGAGCGGGAGAGGGAGCAGGAGCGGGAGAAGCGGGAGTCACGGTCGTCGGATTTGAGATTCCACCCCATGCACAACCAGATGGTGCAGCAGCTGCACTCGCAGCAGCAGGCAGCGCAGCAGCCGCAGCACCGGCCCAGCAGCGAGCATGGCTCTCGTGTATGTGTCGCATCCCTTCCCTCCTCATGCGCCCTGCCCTCTCCCCCCCCTTGTCTACTCGAGCATGATCCGTGGCGTCATGCCAGTGTGCTGTCTGTGCTGCGTGCGCCCAACCCACGTGCTGTGCTGCTCCTGCATGTGCTGCCTGTCATGCTGGCTGCGTGTGCTCTACCGCCTTACCACCTGTGTGCTCGCCTCTGCCACGGCCTGTGTTCGCCCCTCACCCCCTTGCCCTTGGCCCACTGACCCTCCGCGTCCCCCCTGTGCGTGTGTCTCTAGGGCGCTGCTCTCAACAGCAGCACCACCAAGGCCCGCCTGCACAAGACCCGGTCAGGGGAGTTGTCACATCTGCCCGGTAAATCCGGGAGTAAATCGCGAAACAGCTCGATGGACGAGAGGCATCGGCGTGAGATCGAGGCGCTGTTTGCATCGGCGTCCATGTCCGGCGTCCTGCCGGGCGGGCTGCTGGGGAGCGGGGGGGACGGGGATAGGGGCAGGGACAAGGGCAGGGAGCGCGAGCAGCAGCGGCCGAGCAGCAGCGGCGGGCACGGGGGGGGCAGCAGTGGGCCGATGCGCATGTCGACACGCAAGGCGGGGGGAGCGGGACAGGCGGAGAAGAGCAAGGTGGACCAGAAGACGTGGATGCTCATGGGCGCCAAGGGCGAGCTGCCTCCCGGTGTCGCTGCTGCGCTGGCCGCCACGCGCGGCGAGGGCCACAGCCACTCGCTCAACGCCGTCGCTAGCAGCAGCAGCCTTGAGAGAGGAGGCGGGGGTGGAGGAGGAGGGGGAGGGGAGGACCGTGCAGTGGTGCGCAGCAGCAGCAGCAGCGGGGAGCGGGGGGCGGCGGTGGAGGTGAGTCCGCGGGGGCGGCCCGTGTCCACGTTCGCCGTGGAGTTCAGCCCGCGCCGCGCCAGCCCCAGGCGCCCGGGCAGCGGCAGCGGCAGCAGTGCGGGCGGCATGCGCGGGGCGGCGGCGGAGGGCAGTCCGCGGCGGCGGTGGTCGCCCATGCGGGAGGGGTCGCCGCGGGGGGCCGCTCGGCCCAAGCGCAGCGTGGTGGGCGTGTCGCCCTCGCGAGGCGGCAGCGGCAGCGCCGGGGGCAGCGGGGGGAGCAGTGCGCACAGGCGACGGCCGTCGGGGGGCAGTGGGGGAGGGAGTGGGGGAGGGGGAGAGTCGCAGCATGTGGGTTTGGAGGGGGGTGTGGTGCGGCCAGGTGTGGGCGCAGATGTGAAGGTGGCAGCGGTGTCGTAGCGCTGTGGCTCCTCTGCTGCTGCATCGGCTTATCATGTCCATTCCCTCTTTGTATCCCCACGCGTCTGTCATCTGTAGAGGGTATTTTTTGCACCCAGGCGCCGTTGCTTCCTCTGGCACTTGCTCTGCTGTGGGCCACATTTCATTTGTAGGTCAGCTGCGTTTCCGCATCCAGAGCGCCTGTGAGCACTGGGATGCGAACATGTTTTATACGGCTCGTGCCAAGGTGCCATATGGAGTGAGGTAGGAAAATTTAGGGCAGAGTTGATTCGTCATTATTGTTGATATGCAGCGTTGCATTCGCACCTGGAGAGCTCATGTTCCTACAGAATATTAGTTTTGTAGAGGTGTAGAGAAGATGTGGGGCACCATAAAGAAAAGCAGTGTGTACCTTGATGTCCGTTGAAAAAAGTAAGAAAACAAGATTCGACGTTCACGTCGGAAGGGTTGCGTATGACTTGTATTTTTCGTGCTAAGGCGTGTGACATTTTTCAAAATCACTGAAAGTCCGGACCCACATGCGGCGTACGTCCGGAGGCTTTGCGACGCAAACGACGTCGTACGGACAAAATGCGACGCAAACGACGTCGATTGTTTCTTCACGAGCTAATTGGCGAGAGTAGACGATTCTGGTAACGACAAAACTAGCCGTACGGCTGGCTGCCCGGACGAAACAAATAAACAATGTCACACGCCCTAAGACATGATGAAGTGCTCGATATTATACTTATGGTGTATAGAGAAAGCAACGAACTATGTCTCTTTATAACATGCTTGTAAGTTCTTTATTTTGTTATTCCTCATCGTAAATTTTTTACCATTGATTTTTGTTAATGGGAAAATATTTAGAGAATATAACTATATTTGTGCTACTAAGCAATATTGTTTTCTAGTGAGTTTGTATATTTGCAGTCAAATCTTATGTGTCACAAACAGCTAAAATAATCATCTACAACTTTCTTGATTTTGGCGAGTATAACGGGACTGGTGTATTTCGATTGTGAAAACTGGTTCGTGCGTCGTTGGCTGGAATTTTTCTTGCCAGCGCTACACAAACCCAACCAAACCCAAGAAACCCTTCCCTTTCCCCGCTGTCAACTCTGCTCCCTTGGGAGTCCCGTTTCTTGAATTCAAGCACCTGCTCGACTCTGACCTACCCAAATACCTTCCCAACCCCGTCGCCATTCCCTACCAATCGCGTTTTTAGAACCACCTTGCCGTCACCTCTCCCTCACTCCCCGCCGTCGCCTCTCCTCACCCCCCACCGTCGCCTCTCCCTCCCTCCCCGCCGTCGCTCTCCCTTCCTCCTCGTCGTCGCCTCTCCCTCCCTTCCCGCCGTCGCCTTTGGTGGGTTGCTGCACGACCACTCGTTGTTTTCTTAGGCACGGTTGTCTCAGGTGCGTTTCCTTCTCCCTCTCTCCGAAATGTCCTATTTTTTCCACTTTCCTCGTAAGTTCTCAATGCCGATTGGTCTCCTCTTAGCATTGTGCCTCCATTTTAAGAAGGGGAGAGAGGGAGTGTGAGGGAGTGTGTGCGCACGGGAGCAAAGCACGCAGGCGCATAGCGCGCTGGCGCCTAACGGGCTGGCGCCAAACGCGCTGGCGCCTAACGCGCAGGCGCCTAGCACGCTGGCGCTTAATGCGCTGGCACCTAGCGCGCTGGCGCCTAATGTGCAGGCGCCTAGAGCGCTGGCGCCTAACGCGCTAGCGCCTAGCGCGCTGGCGCTTGCTGCGCTGGCGCCTAACGCGCTGGCGCCTAGCGCGCTAGCGCATAGCGCGCTGGCGCCTAATGCGCAGGCGCATAGCGCGCTGGCGCCTAACTCGCTGGCGCCTTACGCGCTAGCGCCTTACGCGCTAGCGCCTTACGCGCTGGCGCCTAACGCGCTGGCGCCTTACGTTTGGCGCCTTGCAGGTGCCCTCGCAGCGCGCTGGCACCTTGTAGCGTGCTGGCGGCTTGTGCGCTGCTGCATTGTTTGCGGCGCTGGCAAATTCCTGCGGCAGCCTTGTTGCGGCAGCGCGCTGGTAAATTATTGCGCACGCTCACGCGTTGCTGCAGTGAGCTCACGCGTTGCTGCAGTGAGCTCACGCGTTGCTGCAGTGAGCTCACGCCTTGCTGCAGTGAGCTCACGCCTTGCTGCAGTGAGCTCACGCGTTGCTGCAGTGAGCTCACGCGTTGCTGCAGTGAGCTCACGCGTTGCTGCAGTGAGCTCACGCCTTGCTGCAGTGAGCTCACGCCTTGCTGCAGTGAGCTCACGCCTTGCTGCAGTGAGCTCACGCCTTGCTGCAGTGAGCTCACGCCTTGCTGCAGTGAGCTCACGCGTTGCTGCAGTGAGCTCACGCGTTGCTGCAGTGAGCTCACGCGTTGCTGCAGTGAGCTCACGCGTTGCTGCAGTGAGCTCACGCATTGCTGCAGTGAGCTCACGCCTTGCTGCAGTGAGCTCACGCCTTGCTGCAGTGAGCTCACGCCTTGCTGCAGTGAGCTCACGCGTTGCTGCAGTGAGCTCACGCGTTGCTGCAGTGAGCTCACGCCTTGCTGCAGTGAGCTCACGCGTTGCTGCAGTGAGCTCACGCCTTGCTGCAGTGAGCTCACGCGTTGCTGCAGTGAGCTCACGCGTTGCTGCAGTGAGCTCACGCCTTGCTGCAGTGAGCTCACGCGTTGCTGCAGTGAGCTCACGCGTTGCTGCAGTGAGCTCACGCGTTGCTGCAGTGAGCTCACGCGTTGCTGCAGTGAGCTCACGCGTTGCTGCAGTGAGCTCACGCGTTGCTGCAGTGAGCTCACGCCTTGCTGCAGTGAGCTCACGCCTTGCTGCAGTGAGCTCACGCCTTGCTGCAGTGAGCTCACGCGTTGCTGCAGTGAGCTCACGCCTTGCTGCAGTGAGCTCACGCCTTGCTGCAGTGAGCTCACGCCTTGCTGCAGTGAGCTCACGCGTTGCTGCAGTGATCTCACGCCTTGCTGCAGTGAGCTCACGCGTTGCTGCAGTGAGCTCACGCCTTGCTGCAGTGAGCTCACGTGTTGCTGCAGTGAGCTCACGCCTTGCTGCAGTGAGCTCACGCGTTGCTGCAGTGAGCTCACGCCTTGCTGCAGTGAGCTCACGCGTTGCTGCAGTGAGCTCACGCGTTGCTGCAGTGAGCTCACGCGTTGCTGCAGTGAGCTCACGCGTTGCTGCAGTGAGCTCACGCGTTGCTGCAGTGAGCTCACGCGTTGCTGCAGTGAGCTCACGCCTTGCTGCAGTGAGCTCACGCCTTGCTGCAGTGAGCTCACGCCTTGCTGCAGTGAGCTCACGCCTTGCTGCAGTGAGCTCACGCCTTGCTGCAGTGAGCTCACGCCTTGCTGCAGTGAGCTCACGCCTTGCTGCAGTGAGCTCACGCGTTGCTGCAGTGAGCTCACGCCTTGCTGCAGTGAGCTCACGCGTTGCTGCAGTGAGCTCACGCCTTGCTGCAGTGAGCTCACGCCTTGCTGCAGTGAGCTCACGCCTTGCTGCAGTGAGCTCACGCCTTGCTGCAGTGAGCTCACGCCTTGCTGCAGTGAGCTCACGCGTTGCTGCAGTGAGCTCACGCCTTGCTGCAGTGAGCTCACGCGTTGCTGCAGTGAGCTCACGCCTTGCTGCAGTGAGCTCACGCCTTGCTGCAGTGAGCTCACGCGTTGCTGCAGTGAGCTCACGCCTTGCTGCAGTGAGCTCACGCCTTGCTGCAGTGAGCTCATGCGTTGCTGCAGTGAGCTAACGCCTTGCTGCAGTGAGCTCACGCGTTGCTGCAGTGAGCTCACGCGTTGCTGCAGTGAGCTCACGCCTTGCTGCAGTGAGCTCACGCGTTGCTGCAGTGAGCTCACGCGTTGCTGCAGTGAGCTCACGCCTTGCTGCAGTGAGCTCACGCGTTGCTGCAGTGAGCTCATGCGTTGCTGCAGTGAGCTCACGCGTTGCTGCAGTGAGCTCACGCCTTGCTGCAGTGAGCTCACGCGTTGCTGCAGTGAGCTCATGCCTTGCTGCAGTGAGCTCACGCCTTGCTACGGCAGCCCGCTTGCTCCTCTGCCGGTGCCTTGCGAGACGCGTTGTGGGGAGCAGGGAGGGGAATTCGAGAGAGAAGACAATGTGGAAAAGGGTGGAAGGAGATTTTGATGGTGGAGGGAGAGGAAGGCAGGCGGGAAGGGGGAGGAAGGGGGGACAAGGTAGCAGTGATTGATACATAATTAACATATTGCAACTCTTTGTTATGCTTGTCTGCTCTCAATCCTATTTGTGTATGTATGTGTGTGCGGTGCGGGTGTGTTTGTGCAGGTGTGTGTTCATGTCTTCTTGTTGTGTTTGTTTCACTGTGGGGTTGCATTTCGATGCGTTTGGTTGGATGGGTTGTACCTTTTTTACGTGCGTTTGCATTCATGTTTGTGGGATGTGTGTCTCAAAGTGTGGTGTTAGTATGTGTCTTGTATGCAATTAGAGGTTGTTAATCGTCTTTGGGGCAGCGGGTTTTCGCTGTTTCAACGACCCCATCAACCTCTGTTGTTACATGATGCATTTTAACATTTTTTTGGAAGCATCCGCCCACATTTCATACTTTGTTGTTCATCTGTACAATTGCATTCGTTCATGTTGAAGCCAGAATATTATGCTCGGCCGTACCATCCGCCGTATTAATCGACGAGCTTGGACGGTCGAACAAGTTCATGGTTTCAACATGATACGCACGTGCATAATGTTTGGTTTCACATTTATGGATCTCATTCAAGAGTGGTTTTTATTCACTATTTGAAGCATCTGTTTGAGCACAGTTTTAGAAAGTTCAAACGGGTGCTCCAAAGAGTGTATGAAAAATCACTCTTGATGTGATATCCCCAAAATGTGAAACCAAATATATAGGGTTGCTACGCAACCCAAAAAAAAAGATAGGATCAGCAGGGCTTGTTTTTGGATTTTAGAAACCCTAAATAGCAGTGTTGGATTAATGGAATCCCTGAGGTACAGTCTTGCAGAACGCCTTGGCTTGGTCCCAGTAGGTTCGGGACGGCGCTCAACGGCTCACCACTGCTCACAACCAGCTTGCACTACGACTAGCCACGGCTCTGGAGCGTGCCTCGTGTTCAGATGCCAGGTTTTCTCAAAGACGATAAATTGCGCGGTTCTGGGTTTCAGGGGGTAAGGAGCTTGATCATCCCATCTCATCCGCCCAGAAACCCTTGCACTCTCCAGTTGCTCTCCGCTGCCTTCACGTCCGTGCCTCGCGTCCCCTAATGCTGCCGTGGAGCATGCCTTGAGTGATCGCACTCTTTCACGCCAACATATCGGTCCGTTCCTACCTTTCGCCTTGCCGTTTACAATTGTGTTGTCAGCTTCCCGCGTTCCGCGCTGCTCGTTCCGCGATTTCTTTTCCGCCCCTCGACGCGCTCTCCCAAGAACCGCCGGCTCGCCCTCGCCGTGCATGCGGCGGGGGCGCGGTGGCCGTCGGTTCCATGAGAGCGCACAGCGACCGCCGCGGGCCTCGCATCCCGCCGCCGGTGCTCCTTCGAGTGCGCGTGCCTCTCTCCGCGCGCGCTCTCCGCACCGCCGCACATTCACTCGCGCCTGCTCGTCTCGCCTTTCTCCCGTGCTGCTGGCCCTCTCTCTACGCCTCTCCCCGCCGCCCTCTAACCTGGTCTCCTCCTTGCCGTCTTCCCCCTCCCGTCCTGCTCTTCCTTTCCCTCCTCTCCCCTCCCCCTCTCCCCCCAATATGCGAGTGCTTCGCAGTGCGCATGGCTGCACCACCCGGAGCGGCACAGGTGCGGGGCATCGACTGATGGCAGGCGCGTGTCGTTCCTCGTAACCTCGCGGCTCTCAGCGCGGCTCGCAACACATCGGGTGCGCGGCTCGTCTCTTACATCTCGAAACATTTGTGCGATCTATGCTTGCGAGAGAATGCAAGAGGCGCGCATCGCTCTACGAAGACCGTCGGATTGGCATCAGCTGCGCGCAGCGCCTTCCATCCGAGGGTCCTTACAGGGCGGACAGCGACGCAGAGAGCGTGCCATGGGGGGAGGGCGCCCTGTCTTGTGGGCGCGCTCCTCCGACATTGCACGCTCACACTCACACCCGCGCTGCCGGTGCTGTGCCTCCCTGTCGCGCGTCTCTCCCGCTCTAGCACCTCTGACTTGGCTTCATTCCCCTCCCTGTGCGCGCAGGTGCGAATGCGCGCGTGCAAAGCACCACATGGCGGCGGGCATGCGCAGCACGACACGAATCACGCGAGGCTGTGCCGTGCGAGATGTCGACAGCCCCTGGTACTCGGTGACACTCGGTGGCACTCGGTGGCACTTGGTACAAGTGGTGTGTGATGTGATGTGAGGGCGCCATGGCTCCTCATGTGAGAGAACCCGAATCGCTGTCTCCATCTTGGTGGCGTGCAGCGGCCGCGCCATGGAGGGAGTGTGGTAGATAACACTGATGCAAGCTCCATGTGTTGTGACTCACAAGTATTCATGTGTTGAATGCATGTGCTTTTATGCCAGTGTCCTTACTTTATGAAACATCCTACCATAGTATCCTTTCAAGCTGTTTATACCCCCTGGAGCACACACTTGATTCCACAACAATCAATTTGATTACTATTACCGTTTGTGCAATTGCTACATGCTTTGATAAATAACCAGTTGCACAAAGGACGACCAAAACACGAGACACGAGGCGAGGTGCAGTAGTGATCTCCGTCAAGTGAGCAACGGATCATTGCAGAGGCACAACCACGTCACACCCTCTTCATGTCACTTGGTGAGCCCTTGGCCCGGCATGGCAGAGCATGGGAGGCGAGGTCAGGGCGAGGGAGAGGGGTCGGACACCACGAACTCAACCTGAGGGCGGTGAGCATCGGGGCGAGATGGGTGGCACGGCGAGGGAGGTGGTGTGCATGGCGAAGCGTGGCAGAGATGCATGCAGGGGTGCACGGAGTGGCAGAGATGCATGCAGGGGTGCACGGAGTGGCAGAGATGCATGCAGGGGTGCACGGAGTGGCAGAGATGCATGCAGGGGTGCACGGAGTGGCAGAGATGCATGCAGGGGTGCACGGAGTGGCAGAGATGCATGCAGGGGTGCACGGAGTGGCAGAGATGCATGCAGGGGTGCACGGAGTGGCAGAGATGCATGCAGGGGTGCACGGAGTGGCAGAGATGCATGCAGGGGTGCACGGAGTGGCAGAGATGCATGCAGGGGTGCACGGAGTGGCAGAGATGCATGCAGGGGTGCACGGAGTGGCAGAGATGCATGCAGGGGTGCACGGAGTGGCAGAGATGCATGCAGGGGTGCACGGAGTGGCAGAGATGCATGCAGGGGTGCACGGAGTGGCAGAGATGCATGCAGGGGTGCACGGAGTGGCAGAGATGCATGCAGGGGTGCACGGAGTGGCAGAGATGCATGCAGGGGTGCACGGAGTGGCAGAGATGCATGCAGGGGTGCACGGAGTGGCAGAGATGCATGCAGGGGTGCACGGAGTGGCAGAGATGCATGCAGGGGTGCACGGAGTGGCAGAGATGCATGCAGGGGTGCACGGAGTGGCAGAGATGCATGCAGGGGTGCACGGAGTGGCAGAGATGCATGCAGGGGTGCACGGAGTGGCAGAGATGCATGCAGGGGTGCACGGAGTGGCAGAGATGCATGCAGGGGTGCACGGAGTGGCAGAGATGCATGCAGGGGTGCACGGAGTGGCAGAGATGCATGCAGGGGTGCACGGAGTGGCAGAGATGCATGCAGGGGTGCACGGAGTGGCAGAGATGCATGCAGGGGTGCACGGAGTGGCAGAGATGCATGCAGGGGTGCACGGAGTGGCAGAGATGCATGCAGGGGTGCACGGAGTGGCAGAGATGCATGCAGGGGTGCACGGAGTGGCAGAGATGCATGCAGGGGTGCACGGAGTGGCAGAGATGCATGCAGGGGTGCACGGAGTGGCAGAGATGCATGCAGGGGTGCACGGAGTGGCAGAGATGCATGCAGGGGTGCACGGAGTGGCAGAGATGCATGCAGGGGTGCACGGAGTGGCAGAGATGCATGCAGGGGTGCACGGAGTGGCAGAGATGCATGCAGGGGTGCACGGAGTGGCAGAGATGCATGCAGGGGTGCACGGAGTGGCAGAGATGCATGCAGGGGTGCACGGAGTGGCAGAGATGCATGCAGGGGTGCACGGAGTGGCAGAGATGCATGCAGGGGTGCACGGAGTGGCAGAGATGCATGCAGGGGTGCACGGAGTGGCAGAGATGCATGCAGGGGTGCACGGAGTGGCAGAGATGCATGCAGGGGTGCACGGAGTGGCAGAGATGCATGCAGGGGTGCACGGAGTGGCAGAGATGCATGCAGGGGTGCACGGAGTGGCAGAGATGCATGCAGGGGTGCACGGAGTGGCAGAGATGCATGCAGGGGTGCACGGAGTGGCAGAGATGCATGCAGGGGTGCACGGAGTGGCAGAGATGCATGCAGGGGTGCACGGAGTGGCAGAGATGCATGCAGGGGTGCACGGAGTGGCAGAGATGCATGCAGGGGTGCACGGAGTGGCAGAGATGCATGCAGGGGTGCACGGAGTGGCAGAGATGCATGCAGGGGTGCACGGAGTGGCAGAGATGCATGCAGGGGTGCACGGAGTGGCAGAGATGCATGCAGGGGTGCACGGAGTGGCAGAGATGCATGCAGGGGTGCACGGAGTGGCAGAGATGCATGCAGGGGTGCACGGAGTGGCAGAGATGCATGCAGGGGTGCACGGAGTGGCAGAGATGCATGCAGGGGTGCACGGAGTGGCAGAGATGCATGCAGGGGTGCACGGAGTGGCAGAGATGCATGCAGGGGTGCACGGAGTGGCAGAGATGCATGCAGGGGTGCACGGAGTGGCAGAGATGCATGCAGGGGTGCACGGAGTGGCAGAGATGCATGCAGGGGTGCACGGAGTGGCAGAGATGCATGCAGGGGTGCACGGAGTGGCAGAGATGCATGCAGGGGTGCACGGAGTGGCAGAGATGCATGCAGGGGTGCACGGAGTGGCAGAGATGCATGCAGGGGTGCACGGAGTGGCAGAGATGCATGCAGGGGTGCACGGAGTGGCAGAGATGCATGCAGGGGTGCACGGAGTGGCAGAGATGCATGCAGGGGTGCACGGAGTGGCAGAGATGCATGCAGGGGTGCACGGAGTGGCAGAGATGCATGCAGGGGTGCACGGAGTGGCAGAGATGCATGCAGGGGTGCACGGAGTGGGATGTGCAAGCCGCATGTCAGTGGTGGTGTGGTGCAGTGGTGGTGTGGTGCAGTGGTGGTGTGGTGCAGTGGTGGTGTGGTGCAGTGGTGGTGTGGTGCAGTGGTGGTGTGGTGCAGTGGTGGTGTGGTGCAGTGGTGGTGTGGTGCAGTGGTGGTGTGGTGCAGTGGTGGTGTGGTGCAGTGGTGGTGACAAGCACGCAGCGACTCACCTCAGGCCCCAGCTTGATGACGTCACCATTGGCCAGCTTGCGCGGCGCATTCACTCCCAGCAGCTTCCTGCCCTCGCACAGGAGATACAGGGACAGAGGGGCAGACGGGGACAGGGGGACAGGCGTAGCGCAGAGACAGGGGGGCAGGGGCACAGGGGACAGGCAGCAGATGGAAGGTGGTTGTGAGGGACGCCTGGTGGCATTGACAAAAGAATTGCATGTGCATGCTGTGGGTGTACGCACATGGATGCACGTGTGTGTGCCACACCATCATGCCACAGCAGAGCGGGGCAGTAACCAGGGCAGAGAGCACCGCAGTGTGCAACGCAGAAAGAAGAGCAGAGAGACAGAAGGAGAGCCGGGCAGAGCAGAGAGACGGAAAGAGAGCAGGGAAGGGAGAAGAGCAGAGGGGAGAGGCAGGCGGGGCGCAGAGTGGGGAGGGCGGGCAGGGAGGGCGGCAGGCAGGGGAGGACATGGACCCGTTGAGGAAGGTGCCGGTGGTGGAGCCGATGTCAGCGATGAAGTAGTCGCGCTTGTAGCTGCCGAACCCCATGTACTTGTCCTTTCCGTACACCACCGCGTGCGCGAATGACACCTGTGCCGCACAACGTGGGGGGTGGGCGGTGCGAGAGGTGCATGGGAGGGCAATGATTGGCAGGATATGGAACCTACTGCAATCTAATTGCAGACAGTGACAACTAAACAAGAAAGCTCACCCCCTTGAGGTGCCCCGCCACTCACCCCCTTGAGGTGCCCCGCCACTCACCCCCTTGAGGTGCAGCTCGATGGGTCGCGAGCCGTCCTCTGGCTGGGGGAGGAGGCCCAGCGTCACGCCCTTGCCCGACACCTCCACGTCCTCCAATGCCGTGCTGCCACCTGGCGTGTCCGCGCTGCCTGCCGTGAGCTTGAGGCGCCACACAGGCGGGTTGTCGCCCCACCCATTGGCCCTCTGCTTCGCTCCCCACTGCTGCAACCACCTGCGCAGGGGGTATTGGGTTCGGGAAGGGAAGGCAGAGAGGCAAGAAAACGGTCGAGCCCTAGAGGGCAGAGGTGGCAGAGGCAGGAGAGCGCGGGTGAGAAGAGCACGAGCAATGATCGCTGGGCACGTGCCCCGAGAGCTGCCTCACCATTCGCGCATACCTCACCATTCGCGCATGCCTCACCATTCGCGCATGCCTCACCATTCGCGCATGCCTCACCATTCGCGCATGCCTCCACCATTCGCGCATGCCTCACCATTCGCGCATGGCCTTGCCTCACCATTCACGCATGGCCTTGCCTCACCATTCACGCATGGCCTTGCCTCACCAGTCGCGCATGGCCTTGCGGTTGCGGTCCATGGCGCGCTGCACATCGCGGTCCCAGAAGGCGCGCTTGGCCTCACGCCTGGCGCGGTAGCGGGTCATCTCGCGCTCGATGACGGCGCGCTCCATGTCGCTCAGATCCACCATGCGCGCCGCCACCTCCTGCACCCGCCAGGGTCCCATGCACCCGTGACACATGGGTGGCATACCGGGGATACAGGGGATGTGTTGAGCAGAGGAGTGTGGGAACACAGGGAAGACAAAGGAGACGTGCCAGGGAAAAGGTGGAAGGGAAAAGGGAAGACAGTTGGTGGGAGTAAGAAGAGGCGAAAGGATGCCGCGTAGGGGAGAGAGGAAACAGTGATGTTACAGTGAAGTTGAGAGTTTGATTTCGAGCAAGACGCACTTTGAACCAGTGAATGCCAGACGATGCGTCACAATGCCCATGATACTTTGCCATTGAGCATGTGTGCACCATGCCATGCGGTGCACGCCATGCCATGCAGTGCACGCGTACCATCTGCTCCTCATCATCGGAGGCGATGAGCTCGTCCTCACTGAGGTCGCCCTCCTCCCCGCCACCAAAGTCAGCCGCAGCCGCCACATACATGGCTGCCTCCGCCTCCACTGCTGCTGCTGCCTGCTCCGCCAGCTTCACTGCCTTCTCCTCCAGCTGATTCGTCCACCTGCCACGTGCAGACATGGAGAATACACAGGGAAATAGAACACTCAAGGGGCGGCCAGGAGACATGCAAGCAAGGAGTGGCCTGCCACCCACCCCTGCTGCCCTCACCCCTGCTGCACCCACCCCTGCTGCACCCACCCCTGCTGCACCCACCCCTGCTGCACTCACCCCTGCTGCACTCACCCCTGCTGCACTCACCCCTCCCGACCCTCAGGACTCACCACTGGCGCATCTCCGCCCGGCCGGCCTCCATGGCCTCCAGCTTCGCCTCCTCTGCCTGCTGCTCCGCCTCGCCCAGCACCGCCCTCCACTTGCCCACCGCCCTGCCCCACCCACCACACACATGGCAAGCAAAGGGACGGTACACTTGACACTTTAGGTGCTGCATGGTGCTGCATGGTGGTGCATGGTGGTGCATGGTGCTGCATGGTGCTGCATGGTGGTGCATGAAATGAGCAAATGACCAAGGCGAGTAAAACTCTCTCGAGTTTGACTCGTACTCGAGTGAGTGTTTTAAACACTCAATCAGGGGCGAGTGAAACTCGCCTGGTTTCACATTTGTATACGGCTTGCCTCAGCCGAACTTTTTCGGCCGATTTAACAAATCGTTATTGGCCCCCCAACAAGCGCTGCGACCAAGGTGAGCTACAAAACTCGCATCAATGCTCATGTATAGGTGCGGCACACAGCAAGGCAAAGAATGTGTGCATGGCGCACATAACTGGTGAAGGAAGATGCTGGCACCCTGGCAGGCACCCACCATGCACCCCCCCATGCACCCATCATGCACCCACCATGCACCCCCCCATGCACCCCCCATGCACCCCCCATGCACCCACCATGCACCCCCCCATGCACCCACCATGCACCCCCCCATGCACCCACCATGCACCCCCCATGCACCCCCCATGCACCCCCCATGCACCCCCCATGCACCCCCCATGCACCCCCCATGCACCCCCCATGCACCCCCCATGCACCCCCCATGCACCCCCCATGCACCCCCCCATGCATCCACCATGCACCCCCCCATGCACCCCCCATGCACCCCCCATGCACCCCCCATGCACCCCCCATGCACCCCCCATGCACCCCCCCATGCATCCACCATGCACCCACCATGCACCCCCCCATGCATCCACCATGCACCCCCCCATGCACCCCCCATGCACCCCCCATGCACCCACCATGCACCCACCATGCACCCACCATGCACCCACCATGCATCCCCCCATGCACCCACCATGCATCCCCCCATGCACCCACCATGCATCCCCCCATGCACCCACCATGCATCCCCCCATGCACCCACCATGCACCTCACCATGCACCCCACCAGGCATCCCCCCAAGGCACCCACCATGCGTTGAGCTGGGCGCGCGACTCATCCTCCACCGCCGCCTGTTTCGTCACCAACTGCGCCATCCACCTGCACGCCCCCAACCACCCACACACCCACGCACCCAACCCAACCACCAACTTCAGCCGCAGGCGCAATGTGACATGCAATGTGCCGCAGTGGTGATAAGCACAGCAGCACACTATGTTGGATCGGACGTCCCTGTCAGGGCACGTCTCGCGTCTGGACGATTGCGTCCGGACGCTGGGCGCGTCCCAGACGCTGGACGTTCGGCCGAAATTGGTCCTGGGCAACCCTCCCAAAAAAAAAAAAAAAAAGCGACCGCGGAATTGAAAGACGATATTTTACGCGATTGAAACCGAGTCGAAATTGTCCTTCAGGGCGTGCGTTTCTGGGGTTGCAAAAACGCAACACCAGCAGATTACATCTCCACCCCTCTAAGTCTACCAATCGCAACCAAATCGACATTCAACAAATACAAATTCGTTGGACGCCATCACTCTCTGGTTTCTTAGCTACGCGGCGTCCATTAGCTAACCCTAGAATCTCCCGACATCCATTAGCTTAGTATCCCTAGAATCTGCCGACTTAGTCTAAGAGCACCCTTAAGCCATGGCGACTTCCAATCCAACGGATGTCGCCAATAGTTCTGGGGCGGATCCTACCGTAGAAGACTTTGTGTGCGAATTTCATGGATGATTAAGGGGAAAAAACTATGTTTCATGCTTGCTGGTGCCCAAATTCCCCCTCCTTCACCTCTTCCCTTATTTTTTACCCTGCCCGGTGAAATTTTTCATCCCTGCCCGGACAAGCGTCCGGGGAACGTCCGACAGGGGGGCCTGGCCCGCGACCAGACGCACGCGTCATAGACCCTGGACGCTTCAGATCCAACACAGGCAGGACATTTGCGTAAACAAAAAAAGAGGAAGCACAGCGGACCGAGGACCAAGTCGAACCAGTGCGTGCGTGCATGTGAATGTTCTTCTTCATGGAAACAAGTCAACAAAAAGAACCATCGATAACTGTGCTTGAGTGGGGCAGGGTGGCGGCTTGCCTCATAAGACAAGCAGGTGAGTGTGTGGAGGAGGAGAGCGTCCCTTTGAGTGATCTCCACTCCATGCACTCATGACAATACACCGCCTCTTTGGGCATAAAGGCATCCGCAGATGAGTCAAGAGTGGTGGAGAGGGGGAGGAGGAGCATGAACTCACAGAGCAAAGTGAGCCTGCCATCCCATTGCTCTCACCATTGCCTCATCTCTGCTCGCGCTGCATCCATGGCCTTGCCCTGCTGCTGCTGCACCCACCTGGGGGACAAGCAGAGGCAGGGAGGAATGATGAGAATCAAGGTGATTACAACAGGTGCTCCTTTCTGTTTCATGTTGTCAACGAATAAAATTGCTTCATTCTGAGTGTTTTCAATTTGCATAATGTTCTGAAAAGAAAATGTAGATGAAGAGAGAGTTGAGGGTGTGTATCCATGGCAAGGCATGACTGGAAACCCAACCCACACAACGGCTTGGGCCCCGTCCAATCCACACACTTGTGCAGCTTATGCGGTGAACAGCACAGCTTATGCGGTGAACAACAGAAATTTTGAGTCTTTTTGGAAGACCAATGACTGCCCACTTGGGTGCTACCTCTTGCACTACTGAAGAAGCAACTCTGTCCACGCAGGCAGGCAGCATAAAAAAACTCGAGAATGACCGCCATGGCAACAAGAGTGGAGAGGAGGAGGAGGAGCATCAACTCACAAACGACTTGCTCTCACCATTGCCTCATCTCTGCTCGCGCTGCATCCATGGCCTTGCCCTGCTGCTGCTGCACCCACCTGGCGGGACAAGGGTGGCCGGGAGGAATGACGTGAAAAAGGGTGGTTGAAACGATGTGTTCCTTTCCATTTCATTCCAAAGGCCCAACGAGCTGCTTCTGTCCAAGCCAACACACTCGAGTTAGATTCATTGACTCATTCTGGGTGATTTTTCTCGGCCAATTCAGATTGCAAATTGTGCTAAGTCTAACGTGTGATACAGAGACATGAGCAAGGGCCGGTGCCGTCCCGGCACCGGCCTGCCCCGGGCTGGGCGGCCTCCTTGGCTTGGGGATGGGGCTGCCTGCCCTGTGACTCACGTGTGAGGAAGTCAGCCCGTGGCTGATCTAGGCCCGTACGCCCGACTCACGCCAAGCGAGGCTCAGCCCAATTCAAACATTCACTAGAGCATTCTGACGATGCCACGCCGCTGATTCTCTTCACAGACTTCCACGTTGCAATCAGTTACTCAACTAGACGCTTGGCAAATCCATCAACTACTCAATGAGTTTGGATGTCAAGGGGCAAACATCTAGGAAGGTTAGTCGTTGAGTGCCTAGGCTAGAGGAGAGGTGAGAGGGCAAACGTAAATACAAACTCACAATTGAGATTTGAACATAATTTATCACTTGGACTCAAGGCAAGCCCCCCTGCGCTGCACTCACCAGGCCCTCATTTCCGCTCGGCCCTGTTCCATGCCGGCTGCAGCTGCTGCCCCCACCTTGGCCTGCTGCTGCTGCTCCCACCTGCAACCATGCCGCCCGCCCGGGTACAGGGCGATGGTGAGAATCTTAAACTGCACTGTCCAAACTACAAAGGCAAAAATGAGCAAGAGTCACTTCGTATTCGTTCGGGTCGAACCGGTTTGAGTGCCCCCGCTTGCAGTGCAGGTTCGCTTCCCTGCGCACACTCAACCTCACCCCTCCCTCCCTTGCTCTCACCATTGCCTCATCTCTGCGCGCGCTGCATCCATGGCCTTGCCCTGCTGCTGCTGCACCCACCTGGGGGAGAGACAGTGGAAGAGAGACGAGGGGGGGAGAGGGAGAAGAGAAGAGTGGCGAGCAGAGGATAGCGGAGCAGACTGCCCGGCACAAGTGTACAAATGACAAACGAAAATGCAAACTATGTAAATAAGTGCACATTGCATATGGTCAGCGGGAGAACACAGTGGCTATGCATACACATAACATATCTTGAAGGAGAATTTGCGAATGGATGGGGTGAAGCACAAGTGGTGACAGGCAGCATGCAAACGAGTGTGGCATGAGAGAGATGTCACGAGGGCGAGTGGGATGGTAGTTGGGGCACCCAGCCAGCACCGTCCACGTGGTTCACATTCACACTCACCATTGCCTCATCTCCGCACGACCTGCATCCATGGCCTTGCCTTGCTGCTGCTCCACCCACCTGGCGCACATGGGGGTTGGGGAGGGGGAACAAGGCGAAAATGAGCCACACAGCATGCCCAAAGTAGACACCAAATCCTGTAGAAACGGAAGTGTCAGCAGCTTTCTGGCAGAACTGCAACTGCTGCAGCTTTAAGGGGGTTTGGGGACTAGGTTAAGCATGTAAACAAAAACTTAGGTTTTTAATGATATTTGTTATTCGACTGACTGGATAATACTAGAATAAAGTACGGATTCGCGTTGGCATGCTACTGACACGCATTTTCTTGTCAACTGTACTCGTAATGGCTTATGTTCTATTCCTGGGCTGAGGAGATATAGCCTTTTTTAAGTACTCTTTGAGTTTGAACCAAACATAGTATAGTACAATTTGTCGAACAATACGAAACAGTAGGTGTGTTACACGTAGAGCAGCTATTTGGTCCGAACTTGAAAAATATTTACGAAGTCTTCACATTCGACTCAAACTGTCTTTTACAGGCTTGGGATGGAGGGAGTGTGCGCTTGAGAGGGAGTGTGCGCTTGAGAGGGAGTGTGCTTGAGAGGGAGTGTGCTTGAGAGGGAGTGTGCTTGAGAGGGAGTGTGCTTGAGAAAGTATGCGCGCTTAAGAGACGGTGTGTGCCTGAGGGAGAGCGCTGTAGCTCACTCTCACTCACACTCCTTCCCTCCCCTGCCTGCACTCACCAGTGCCTCATGGTTGCGCGCGCCACGTCCATGGCCTTGGCCTGCTGCTGTTCCATCCACCTGAGGCACAAGCAGGGGCGCACAAGCAGAGGCGCACAAGCAGGGGCGCACAAGCAGGGGCACACAAGCAGGGGCACACAAGCAGGGGCGCGATGAGGTGTGGCGGGCGTGTGGGCAGAGTGGTGTGTGCAGCACGAGACGAGACAGAGAGGCGCATGGCGACAGTGGACGCGAGCATGATGGCGTGGCGTGTGAATGAAGAGATGCAATCTCAGTTCATTCCATCCTGCACAGCACACACTCACTGTCTACAGTCTACTACAGCGGCTGGCAGGCATCTCTGAATCTCGCGCTCTCCCTGCTCGCTCACTCCCTCTCACTTCCACCCCCCACCCCTTCTCTCCTCGCACCCCCCGCCTCCCCCCCCCCCCCTTTCTTCTCCCTCCCTCAACGCTCTTCTCCCTCCCTCAACGCTCTTCTTCCTCACTACCCTCTCACCCAATCCAATCGTCTTCACCCTCCCTCCTCGCTTCCCTCCTCGCTTCTGTCCTCCACCCTCGCTCTCTCCGTCCCCCCATCCCGCCCTCCCTCTCTCCCTACCCCCATCCTGCCCTTCTCCTTTACCTTCCCCTCTCCCCTCCCCCCCTCTCCCCTTTCCCCCCACTCACCACGTCCGCATCTGCGCGCGAGCAGCATCCATGCCCGCCTGCTCGCCCTTGCCCGCCTGCTGTGCCGCCCACCTGGTGCATGAGGGGGGAGGCAGAGGCGCAACAACAGCAGAAGGGAGGCCGTGAGACGGGTGGGAGGGCCGCGGCGGAGGGGCATGGGAAGGAAGGAGGGCGGAGAGAGGCGGGAGGAGAAGCACGTGGAAGCGTGGCATGTGCAAGCATGAGCATCGGCCGGGCACGGACCGGCCTAGGTCAAGGGCGCGTCGGACCGCCAGATTCAAAGACTCGGCCCGCCGGGCCAGCTGCGGGCCCACCCCACCTGCAACCGGCATCCCCGCGGCCGGCGACTCGGCCCGGCACCAGGCCGGGGCGAATCTTGGTGTGCATGGGGCAGCAAGTGATGCGGTGAAGAGTGAGTGAGTCATGGGTGCAACTCATTCTCTCGCGCTCCCCCCAGCTCGGCTCACCATCCCTGCTCTCGCACTGCTCTTCCTATCAGCCCGTGTGCCCCTCCCTGCCATTTGCACCAGACACGCATCACACCCCTGCCCCCGCTCCCCCTCACGCCTCCCCCAACCCTTACCATCGCCCCCCCCATGCGCGCTCACCCCTCCCCCATGAGTGCGCTCACCCCTCCCCCATGAGTGCGCTCACCCCTCCCCCATGAGTGCGCTCACCCCTCCCCCATGAGTGCGCTCACCCCTCCCCCATGTGCGCTCAGCTCAGCTCACCACGTCCTCATCTCAGCGCGCGCAGCATCCATGCTCGCCTGCACCCCCTCCCCCTCCCCGTCCGCCACGGCCACCGCCCCCTGGCCCGCCTTGGCCGCCTGCTGCGCCTGCCACCTGCCCCACGCGCGGAGGGATATCATGAGCGCAACAGGATTGGGGGGGCACACGGGGGAAAGATTGGGGGAGAGGCGGACAACGGTAGAGTTACGAGCGCGCATGGCAGGGTGGCGTGCAGGAAAGCATGGGAGTGCGGGAGAGCATGGGAGTGCGGGAGAGCATGGGAGTGCGGGAGAGCATGGGAGTGCGGGAGAGCATGGGAGTGCGGGAGAGCATGGGAGTGCGGGAGAGCATGGGAGTGCGGGAGAGCATGGGAGTGCGGAATATCATGGGGAAAGGTTGGCGGGTTGGCCAGCGTATCGAAGAGGGCGGGAGGAAGGCACGCGGATGGTGAGAGGCGTGGCAGGGCGGGAGGGCGGGTGTGAAGGAGGATTGATGACCGGTGGGGGAGCGAGGCATGTGGGAAGTGAGAGAGCGACAACTCAACACCCACCCACCACCCGTGGCGGACCCACCACCCGTGGCGCACCCACCACCCCTCCCGCACCCACCACCCGTGGCGCACCCACCACCCCTCCCGCACCCACCACCCGTGGCGCACCCACCACCCCTCCCGCACCCACCACTGGCGCATGGCGGCTCTCCCCCTCTCCATTTCCGCCTCTCCCGCTTCCGCCACTACCCCCACTGCGCCCCTCCCCCCCCTGCTGCTGACGGTCGGCCTCCCATGCAGCGACACACGCCTGGGAGAGGTGCAGTGAGAGGGTGGGGTGGGAAGAGGAGAGAGGGGGGGAAGAAGGTGGGGAAGTTGGGGGGTGCTTGAGCGAGAGGCGGAGGGAGCACGGAGTCCGTCTGTGCGACCAGCATTGCGACATTGCGACGAGCATTGCGACGCAGCAATCTGCTCGCCGTCATCGCCGCATCAACGAGCTCGGCCGACAACGGCCCAGCTGTTTAATCGCCGCACATTGCCAGTTCGCGATATAAGCGCTAATTGCTGTCGGCTGTCGACGCGGCAGCAGCATTCGGATCGCGAGTTGGTAGCATGCTGAAAGAAGCGGTGTGCGACGAGGACAACCCTCGAGCGCGAGCGACGCTCGTCGCAAGGTGTTCAGATTAAGCGGGCGTCGCGCAGCCGGAGGTCCCACCCGGAAGCCCTCGACGCGCCGTGCATGTCGCGCAGCTTGGCACCGCTCGCCCAGCGAGGTCGTACCTGGGGGCGGCTAGCAACGGCCGGCCGGCATGCGAGGAGCGCAGCGACGTGCGCGTTGATGTCGGGGCGAGCAAGGCTCGCGGAAAGGGCGAGGAAACGAGCAGCGTGTCCATGGCGCAGCCGCGCGCACCGTGCTGCGTGCTGGTGGGTGCGAGGTTGGAGGTGGGAGGTGGGAGGTGTGGATGGGACGGACAAGGTTGGATCACAAGGCGAGGTGGCGAAAACGGGAGCTTTGAAAGGGTGAGCTGGGTGATGTGGCGGGGCATGAGCATGGCGCTGGGGAACCACTCGTGAAACAAACAGGGGTTTGGTATATAATCACAAGATCGTTAAACCCTCCTAAAATGTTTGTCCTTCCTAAATAAGTATAGTGTGTACTGGACATTTTACATTAACAAACTCAACATTACTGCTGGAATAACCGAAAGGTGTTTTAGCATTCCAGAAGGCCGCAACCAGGTCGGCGTCCTCTTAGATCGGCGCCACCAGGTCGGCGCCCTCCCAGGTCGACCTCCTTCCGTCGACCACAGTGAGACTGGGCCGCCGACTTCGCCAAGTCATCGGCCACCCAAGGTCGGCGCCCGCCCCCTCCCAGGTCGACGACTCCCCTCGTCGACCACCGGGCTGAAGTCGGCTGCCGGCTCCCCGTTGTGGGCGGCGTGGCAGTGGCCCCGTGCAGGTCGACCAAGCCTGGTGACCTGCGCGCCCAAATCAGCGTCGCACACTGCAGCAGGCCGGCTGCGCTCCCCGCTTACCCGACAACGAAGTCGGGTCTGCCCAAGCGAGGGCGGGGCCAACACACAACTCCCGTTGACACTCCCCTGCCGCGTTCATGCTTGGGCCTCTACCCCACACGGCAGTACTACTCGGAGAATGGCTCGGTGGAGTGCACACAACACACATAACGCCGGTCACCACACCAGCCATACAAGAGGGCATTGCACCTACTGCTGCACGTCGTCGTCACCGTTACCGACATCGGCCAGGCGCACTGGGCCAATCGCAACGGAGCACCGGTCGAAGGCCGGAAAGTGCAGCGCCTTCGTCAAGAAGTCGGCCGGCTGCTCGGTGGTCGGGATGTACTTCAGCGCGAATTTCCCTTGCTTCACCATGTGCTGCAACCAGGCATATCGCCGCTCCATGTGCTTGAAGTTGCCCTGCAGCCCCAAGCCCTCGGCGACCGTGATGGCCGACTTGTTGTCCACACAAAGGACCGTCGGCGTCCCAGCGTCCAGCAGCCGGATCTCTGCAAGAAGGAAGTGAAGTCGTCGTCCTTCCTTGCTCTGGTTGCCGCCACATACTCCGACTCAGTCGACGACAGTGTCGCGCACTTGTTGCGCTGGCTCGACCAGGAGACTGCGGCCCCTCCGTAGACGAACACATAGCCGCCCGTGCTCGTTCGGTTCTACTTGTCGCCAGCGTCGTCGGCGTCCACGTAGCCGACCAGCTTCAGCGACTCTGGCCCACCGCCGAACTCCAGGGCGGTGTCACGGGTGTCGGCGAGGTAGGCGAGGCAGCGGTCGACCTCGCGCCAGTGCTGGTCTCTCCTCACCGTGAGGCCGCTCCCCAGCTTGCTGCAGGCGAAGGCGATGTCCGGCCTCGTCGCTGTCGCCGCGAACTGCAGCGAGCCGACCTTCTGCCGGTACTCCTCCTCTTTGCGCTCCTGAGCCTCCTTGTCGTCGAACGTTAGCTCGGCGTAGGCGTCGATGGAGACCGGCGTCTTCGGGGTGCGCCCGGTCTGCTCCTCGTTGATGAAATGCATGCGCAGCTTGTCGGCATAGTTCTGCTGGTGCAGCCACAGCTTCCTCCTTGGTCCGTTGCGCACGATCTCCAGCCCGAGGTACTTCTCCACCGGCGAGATCTCACGCAGCTCGAAGGCGGCCTCCAGCAACTCCTTCAGCTCCTTCAGCATCGCGGTGCTGCTGCTGGCGGCGAGCAGGTCGTCGACGTAGACCAGCACTCAGCGGGCCACTTTATCGGCGCCGACTTTGAAGTACAACGCCTCGTCGACCTGTCTCTTCTTCCAGCCGGCACCGATCAGCACGTCGTTGAGCGCCTTGTACCACAGCAGTGGCGACTGCTTCAGCCCGTACAGGCTTCAGCAGTTTGCACATCCGGCCGGTCCCGTCGTCTTAGGAGTCCGGCTGGTACATGTACAGCACCATGTCGAGCTTGCTTTCCAGGAAGGCGTTCTTCATGTCGAGCTGCATCAGGTTGAGGTCGAGGACGGCGACGATGCTAAGGAAGATCCTCAGCGTGACGTAGCTGCTCACCGGCGCGTACGTCTCGTCGTAGTCGGCGTCATACACCTGCGTGAAGCCCTTCAAGACCAGCCTCGCCTTCTCCCGGGCGACCGTGTCGTCGACGTGGTACTTGGTCATCAGGACCCACCGGTTTTTCTTGATGTTCTCCCCGCGTGGGCGTTCGATCAGCTCCAAGGTTCCCATGCCGACGAGGCTGCGAATCTCCTCATCCATGGCGGCCTTCACCGCCTTGCCCTTCCAACTCGCCATCACCTCCTTCACCGTCATCGTTTCGATGTCCCAGCGGTGCTCGGGGTCGGCGTGCATGTCGGGGTCGAGCTTCGGCAGGTCGACGTCGTCCTCGGCGTCGTCGTACAGGCGTCGTCGTACATCGTGGTGAAGGCGCCGGGGGGAGGCAGACGTGGTAAGTCAGCGGCTCAGGCGGCCCCCGAAGTCGGCCTGAACGACGTGGTCCAAGCTGGTAAACCTGGGCCTCCACCACGTCGCTGTCGGTGGATTCCTCGGCGCTCGACTGCTCCCCTTCCTCGTCGCCAGCTTCACTGCCTTCACCGGCCTGCTGCACCAAACTCGGCGTCCCTGTCGACTTCTCCCTTGTCGTCGGCTCCCCTGCCGACTGCCCGGTCGCCAACGGCTCCTTGGTCGGCAGCTTTTTGGTCGGTTACACTGATGGCTGCTCCCCTGTCGGCGGCTTCCCTGCCGACGCCTCCTTCGCCGACTTCTCCCCCGTCGGCTTCGCGACTGCCCGCTGCTCTCCAGTCGTCGGCAACTTCCCTTGCACACTGACTTGCTGGACGTCACGTCGGCCGCCGGCGATGCTCTTGGTCGGCGCCACGACGCCCAACTGCTCCCCTCATCGCCGGAGGCCGACGTTGGTGTCAGCTCATGCAGGTCGGCTACAAGGGGTGGGGCAGGAGGGGCAGGGGAAGGGGAGGGAGGGAGGACGTCCTCGGCGTCCTTATCAGCAGGCTCACCAACCTTGGCGAGCAACGGGAGTGTCGCCGTCGAGGTGTCCGTCGGCCCCGACGCCGGCCCGTGCTCCGACTTCCACACCTCCAGCGACATAGTTTCGTACAACACCACGTCCGACGTGGTGACCACCCTGTTGTCGGTGAGGTCGAGGAGCTCCCAGCCCTTGCTCTCCCCCGACACACCGAGGTGAAGGCCCCACCTGGCCTTCGGCTTCAGCTTGCCGCCTCGCTGCTGCTCGGGGACCTGGAACTGCGCCACGCAGCCCCACACACAGGCAATTGTCAAGTCCGACTTCTTGCCGGTCAACAGTTGGTACGTCGTCGTCCTTGGCGGCAGCGTCGACCGTTCCAGGCAGTTGAGCACCCAGACGGCCTGCCGCAGGGCTAGGTGCCACCAGTGGTGCTGCACACCCACGTGCGGCAGCATCGTTTGCACCGACTCCACCGCCGTCCGCATCTCCCGCTCCGCCATGCCGTTCTGCTGCGATGTGTAGGGGCAGGTCAAGTCGTGGACGATCCCCTTGCCATCCAGGAAGTCGGTGAACTGCTTCCCGAGGAACTTCTCTCTGTGGTCAGAGCGCAGCATCAACACCGACTTCTTCGTCTGCCGCTCAGCCACCACCAGCCACTTCTCGAACTCCCGCAGCAGGTCGGACTTCTTGGCGACCGGCCTCAACCACACGTAGCGGGTCTTGCGGTCCTTCAGCAACAAGAAGTACAGGCTCCCGTCTTTGGCAGCCACCCAAAAAGGCCCGCACAAGTCGATGTGCACGACAGCCAGGGCGTCATTGGCGTCCGAGCCCTTGTCGGGGAAGGTGTGTCGCGCCAGCTTCCCGCCGACGCACGAGACGCACGGAGCGTCGGTGCCGGCCGACGGCTTGATGTCCAGGCCGGTGACGACCTCGTGCTTCGCCGAGCTCGTGATAGTGTCGACGCCGACGTGCGCAAGCCTCACGTGCCACCTGGCCGGCGTCGACTTCGTCGCTGTAGCGATGGTCCACAGGGCCACCGTTTCCGATGGGGCCGTCATCGACGTCGCCGTGTACGGTCGCGGATCGGTGCAGAAGACTCAGCCGATGTACTTCGCCCGATCAAGCACGTCCCCCACCTCCGAGACGAGCAGCATCTCGTCGCCGGCGTCCTGCAGCCACACGCCACTCTCCTGCAACTGCTCGGCCGACTGCACGTTGGCCTGCACACCCGGGACGTAAAGCACGTCGAGGATGAGCACCTGCTTCCCGGCCTCCCCTTGCAGAGCGACGGTGCCACGGCCGCTGACGTCCTGCAGTGCCCCATTGAAGCCGCGCACGTGCATAACCCTAAGTCGACGAAGGCCTCCTTTGTCCCCATCAGGTGGTGCAAGCAGCCACTGTCGAGCGGGACCACCGCCGGGTTCGCTTGCACAGCCGCCGCCACCGCCTGGAAGTCCTCGCCGGCCTTCGGCGCCAGCGAGACGGTCGGCTCCACGACGCCGACCAGCGAGCACGCCGCCTCCCCGTCGCCTTGCCCCTTGCCGCCAGAGGAGGAGTCGGCGTCCTTCGCCGACGTCGACTTGGTCGACTGCTTCTCCTTGCGTGGCTTGCTCTCTCGACCGAGGCGACGACCGGTCGACCTCCCTCGGCCACCCTTTGTGTCGTCCTCGTCGGAGTCGTCGCGGTCGGGGCACTCAAAGGAGAGGTGGTCGGGGTCGCCGCACAGCCAGCACTTTCGACGTCGACTTCCTCCTCCACGACCGCTGTCCTTGGCCGAATTCCCCTTGTTGGCGTCCTTGGCTGGTTTCCCAACTCCGCTACCACCGCCGCCAGGCTTGCCGTGCAGCCCCAGTCGACTTCCTTGCTTCGTCGGAGCGACGTAGTTCGCCTGCGGTAGGAGCTCCGTGGA